AAGAGACAGTTTTTTATTTTTAAGCATAAGGGATTTCTGTTATGGGGAAAAAAAAATCTCAATAGTTATCTGAAAAAGATTATCAAAATAATTGATCTGTTGTACTTGGAGTACTACATTTATCCTGAAGAATAAAGTAGATAATGTTCACTTTTTCTCACGCCTCCTGATTTGTTGGTTTGAGACAGGGTCTCCCTGAAGCCCAGGCTGGCCTGGAACTCACTACAGACCAGGCTGGCCTGGATCCCACAGAGATCCACCTTCTTTGCCTTCGGAGTCCTGGGATTAAAGACTTGTACCATCATGCCCAGCTCACTTTGTTTTCCTGAGACTTGGTCTTTTCACAGAAGGCCAGGCTGTCTTGAACTTCTGAACCTCTCCTGCTTCAGCCTCCTGAATCCTGGGATTATAGGCATGTACCAGCATGCCTGGTGATACTTCCTCTAAAATACAAGTAGAGGGTAAGGGGAGATGGCTTAGTGGGCAAAGCTTGCTGCAGATGGAGGATCTGACTCTGTGTATCTAGAGTGAGCATAAAGCCAGGCATGGTAGTGCACATGTGTAATCCCAATGCGCCTATGATGAGAAGGGAGGTGGAGATAGCAGAATCTGACGATGGTCTGGAGATCAATGAAACGTGAAGCCATTTCCAAGGAGCAGACACCAGGAAGGCCCAGGTGAGTGGGGAGGAGGGGAGAATGTCTCTTATAACAAATAGTGTTGTGACGTTTGTGAACAGCAAGATGGGGAATGAAGCTGGATCTCTCCCTCACACTGCACATACAGGTTAACCCAGGCCTGGACGTAAGGGCTAAAACTCCTGGAAGAGAAAATCTTTGTGATCCAGGGAGGTTGTCGGGTCCACAGCAACTTCCTTCTTCCAGCATCTGACACAGCTGGAGGCCACAGCCGAAGCCAGAGGGGGTACTGATCCCACCTCAAGGTCTCTCTGAGGTCCGCGGAGAGACAGTTTGCTCTGAGGAAGCTGCATTCCTCAGCTTGCCATCCCCGATCTCCATGACTCACCTCATCACCCCTTCCTCGGCCTCCATCACAATGAGAACCGAGTCAAAGTAAGGCAAGCCGGTCACACCACTGACCCAGAGTGAGCCAAGGGCCCATGGTGGAAAAGCTTCTTCAGGGCAGAAGGACACTGTGAAGGGACCCAGCCCAGCCACCCAGGGAGCAGGAAGAGGAGATGTCATTACCTCGTCTGTCTGGGACACGTGTCCGTTGGCTAAGGGCTCCAGCTCTGCAGTGGCCGGTGCAGACAGAATGCTGCAGTCAAGACACGGGCCAATCACCAGGGCTGCCAGTTGGCTGAGCCTCAGCAGAAAGTGGCGGCTGGCCACCACGACTGAGCCAGGCAGCACTGGGGCACTCTGGGCTTCCTGACCTGAAGGATGGTGGACCAGGAATGGGGAGGGCAGTGTAGGGTCCCTTCGCCACAGGACTGTTGGTACCTGGGGTCAGAAGACTCTTGGTGGGATGGATGGGGTGGGGCGAAGTAGGGCAGCGTCCTGTACACTGCAGGGCACTTGGGAGGATGTCCAGCCTTCCCAGGAACAAACACTTTATCAAACTAATATGTCTCAGCACACTGCCTGAGGTCCCTGGGGGAGGTAGGGCACAGTCACCCCAGTGAAGACAGCAAGGAGACAGACTTTCCGGGTACCAGGAAGGATGCTGCAGTGGCCTGACAGGCTATGGGTGTCCTCAGCAGGCAGTCCCCAGAGACCAGCCCTGCCAGGCACCAGCACCTGTCCCCTGCCTTGAGATGTGGCCAGACTGGGAGAGTGTAGGTGACATGGCTGGGTTGAGTCCCGGGCCTGAGAAACACCTATGGAAGGGGTGTCTGGGTCACAGGACCCAAGTTTCTGGCTGAAGGGTGGGCTGCTTTCATCAGGCCATAGGGAGATATTGAGGGCGGCTGAGCCGGGGCGAGGGTGGTCCTGCTGGCCCAACAGGGGCACTCACCTCCGCAGGGCGGGAAGCTGGAAATGCTCAGCACAGAACTGGACAAAGCCTCTCAGGTCTGTCTTGCTGATGCCACCTATGGGATTGATGTCCGCGCTGGAGCAGTCATACTTGGTTAGGTAGCCCAGGAGACTGTGAAGGAGAAAGGAGCGAGTCCCCATGGTTCCCAGGGTTACTGACGACAACAGGATCCACCCACACTAGTCAAGGACTCCTTTCTTCACAGAGCCCAGAAGTCAGATGCCCAGCACGGCCAGCAGGTGGTAGGCGGGGCTGGGCAGACTGCAAAGGGGGCAGGGGCCGCAGGGGCCAAGGATGACCCTGGGATACCAGGTAGACATCTGGGCTGGGGACACTTGGGCAGCCCACCAGGAACAGCCTGTCTGGAAGGGCCAGGGCTGGCCAAGTAGACCAGAGGGACAGAGGCCCCAGAAGGGAAGAAGGGACCTTGTACACTTGGGCACTCAGCCTGGCACAGGAGTCTGGATTTATGATGTCACATGGCACAAATGACCTTGTAGACAGAACGAAGGCAGAGATGGAGCTGGGTTACAGGGTGGCCTCAAAATGCAGCCACAGGCAGAGGGGACAGAGGACAGAGTCAAAGCACTGTGACCAGAGGATGCCACAGAGACTCTGACAGCTGTGAGGGTGCAGAAAGAGTGGGGGTTGGGGTGAGTGTGGGGTCCCTGGAGGCCGGAGGCAGACCAACAGCCTTAGCTCTGTAGGGGCTCAGACCAGCAAGCCTGCAAGGTGATGCTGAACCACTCATAAGCCCACATACCTCCCCACGCCACCACCTGCCATGGCCCTGCCACAGGCCACTGCGTTTCCTAGGGGGACTTCCCATTCCTGGTCACACAGGAATTTCTGACCCAGTGACTGGGGAGCTAAATGGGCAGTTGCAAGGGGCACATCTACTGGCCTCAGATAAGTGCATCCTTGCGGGACAGAGGGATGGAGAGAGGGAGGCGAGATGTGTCCCATGGGGCATCCCCTCAGGGACCCTGGCAGGACTCTGGTCCCCTGTCCTAAGTCTCGTGCTCAGCCAACATCGATCATCAGTCACTGCTGCCTATAGTGTTCCTGGCCATCGCCCTGGCCTCATCCTGACCTTCCATTACCAAGGACAACTGTCCCGCTCCCTCTCATCCCTGAGGAAGTGGTACATGCAGGCCTGGAACAGCATTCCTTCAGGAGGCAATAACCAAGTGACCCAGACGACCCTGGGAACCTGGGCTTGTAGGATCCCCACGGATGGAGGCTCCAGGGCCTAATCTGTGTATACAAACATGGTTGGTGCCGAAGTCCTGCACTCTTCCTGGGAGACAGGTCTTCTGGTAGGTGCCTGTCAGACTGGCTTCACCTGTACCCTGAGCACTGAGTAGCCAGCTGCCCAGGAGGTGCCTCTCCACACCTGCCTGCGCCAGGCTGGTCTGCCTTGCCCCATACCATCTGCCCTTAACTGCCCTGCAGCTGGTCTGTTTGCGGAGTAAGCCCAGAAGGACTCTATCAAGTCCCAACAAGTCATAAACCTCACCCCAGCACAGATTCGACTGCAGCCACTCACAGGACTCAAGACCCTACAGGCCCCCGCGTTCATCACCCCTCATGGCTGACCCTCATCGTCTCTCAAGTCCCTAAGACTTGCTCCTCTCTCTCCTTTACCCATGATCCCTGACTCCACGTACACTCAGCAGCTCAGTGTGGCAACCCCATCACGGGCCTGTCATCTCAGCCCCACCCCCACTGGTAACTCCACATCCTCCTTCACCAGGGAGAAAAAGGCAACCAGGAAAGACCAATCTCAGGATGGCGGAGGTAGCTCCATGGGCAACTGTGGAGGACTTGGGTTTGGATCCCGTGCACCCATGTGAAGTGGAGCAGTGTCACCCTCTGTAACCCCAACACTCCAATGGTTAGAGGGGTGGTGATGGAGACGGGAATTCCCCTGGAGGGAGAGTTAGCCTGGATTAGGAAGCTGTGAACTCAAAGAAAGCAGGCCTCAATGTAGAAGGTGAGGACAGACACCCGAGGCGACCTCTGACCTCTGCAACCACACTATGGCATGTGTGTGCCTGTCCACACACACACACACACACACACGGAAATCAGAAACCTGCTGGATGTGGCAGCATGGTCTTATAGTCCCTGTACTCAGGAGGCAGATAGAGGAGGGCAGCTGCCAATCTGAGGTCAATCTAGGTCCCTGTCTCAAAACCTAACCAAACCAATGAAGAAAGAAAGAAAAGGAAATCAGAGCCTTGAGATTCTAGACCAGAACTTAAAGGAAAAAAAGGCAAGGCTCTGTGAGCCAGATGGGGGAGCTGGGGTCACAGCAAGTGCAAACTGACCCAGTGGAAGTAAGAAACACATGGGACAAATGTACTAGAAGAAAAGTTTCCCCAAGACTAGAGATGATGCTCTATCTGCTCACGAGATGGGCTCAGCAGGAATGAGGTGAGAGATGAGCATCTACAGGTGCTAAGAGATGTTTATTTTCTAACTGATGCCTCAACCTATGACCTCCAGACCATATCTCTACCACCAGGAAAGTATGCCACTTTTGATGAAAACTTTAAATGCCAAAACACAACAGATAAGTTATGATAGGAAATGACCCAAAACATAATTTTATAACAGGTCAAATTTTTGTCCATCTATAAAACACTGCTCAGCTCAGGCTGGGGACACACCCTAGCCCTCTCACCCCCTTGAAAAGCAATGTCCTCGCACAATTGGGCAGCAACGGAGGGGGTAAGCAAAGAACTAGTGTGGAAAGGGGAGAGCTTTCTCCAGGTGGAGGGTGTTTCAACTTGTAACTAGGGAAATAAAGATTCAAAGTAAAGAATTAACAGATTTAAAAGAGAGAGCACATTTGAAGACTTTCAAGGTCATAAAAAGATTAAGGCATTCACAGTGCATGGATGGATGGTGGGTGGATGGGTGTAGGGTGGTATAGATTAGATGGGTGGATGGCCAGGCAGGTAAATGTGTGGATGATGGATGGGTGGATAGGTGGGTGCACAGATGGATCAGTAAATAGATGAGTAAACAGATGAATAGATGTATGGACAGTTAGATTAACAGATGGTCAGATGGGTGGGTCCGTTTATGGACAGACAGACCGACCGACGTGAAGACTGACTGATGAATGCAGGGTGTTTTAAAATCCCTCAGCTAATACGGAGCAAAGGAGAAAGCCAGTAGGCAGCAGCTCACCTAAGGGAAGTGGGGGAACCGAGTCTGGGACGGAGGATCTACCAGCCTCCACTGCTGGGTCTGAGGTCAGCATGGATTTCACCTGGAAACACGGGAGGGAGGGTGTCTCTATTTTTTTAAACAATGGAACAATATGAGAAATGGCGTTATCTTCAGTCCACATAGAAAACGAGCCACAGAAAAGAAATGACAGTGCCGAGGCCAGGGAGGTGCACCAGAGCTCCAGTGTGGCGAGCCGGAGGCAGTGCAATCCGGGGTGCGGCTTGAGGGAAGCCACAGGGCTAGATGAAACTGGGCAGGACTGGGGACTGGACAGAAACTGGCTTGATCTCATCCTCCTGTTCTCCTGATAGCCTGGGGAGGGCTCATCGTGTGGGGACCAAACTTCCACCAGAGACCTGGGATCCCCAGAGCTGCCATGGCCCGTGCCCCGGCCACACAAACCTCTCATCCACGTTGGCGGATCCGAGTACCAGAAGACTTCCTCGGGCACCCCGGGACCAGGGGCTCAATTGAGCAAACAGGTAGGCGAGGACCATCCTGATCCGCGCCTGGTGAGGAAGGGAGGCCGATGTCCCGGGTGGGACGGGGCAGCAGCCACAGTGAGGTGCAAGGAAGTCAGAAGTCGGACACAAGGAAGGCCAAACAAGGGGTGCAGAGGTGGGGACCCTCCCCTACCCACCCCCGCTCCCCAGCATCATGGCGGTGTGGCACTGAGCAGACGGGCCTAGGCCTTTCCTCCCTCCTCCTGGACACCCGATACCCAGGCCAACCAACGTGGCCCCAGGGTCGGCAGACCCAGGGCTGGAGGAAGTGAACGTGTGCACACACAGCCCTGCCTGCGGACACGTTCCACAGCCTCACAGGAGGGTCACACGGACACACACTATGAGTTCACCCAGGCACGCCTCCACACACACTGGTGCACACACACCCTCCCACACACATAGGCCTGCAACCTGCCGTGTGGCTGTGTGTGCACGCCTTCCTGAGGAGTGGGGGGGGGGGTCCTCTGCTGGTCCCCAGGGCTCCTGCCTCCCACCCCCACATCCCGGTGGGGACCCGGCCAGGCTCAAACACCTGCACGTTCTGTAAAGCCAGGTTCTCCCTGCTGCTCCCTCCGTGTGCTGCAAACCGGGGGTGCTTCCCCGTCACGAGGCTGAAGATGCCCAGGATGGCCTTCACGGCTGAATCGATGCCGAGACCGATGTGGTGGCTGGAAGGACAGCGGGTGAGGGTGTCGGCACAGAGCGCGAAGATGCAGCGCCCTGTGACAGTGTAACTATCTCTTAATGTTTTTTCTTTTTTTTTTTTTTTAAAGATACGGTCTCACTACCAGCCCAGGCTGGCCTCAGACTCAGAGATCCACCTGCCTCTGCCTCCCGACTACTGGGTTTAAAGGCATGCACCACCACGTTTGCTTAAATGTGCTTTCTCAGGGCTGGAGAGATGGCTTAGTGGTTAAGAACACTGGTTGTTCTTGCAGAAGACCCGGGTTCAAATCCCAGGACCCACATGACAGCTAATAACTGTCCATAACCCCAGTCCCAGGGGATCCGATGGCCTCTTCTGTCCTCCGTGGGCATTGCA